ACCCAGAGAAAGGTACCAAAAGTCGCCCCAGACAGTTTCGAGCTACAGGCTGATATTATAGTGATAATGACAAAAATCACTTTTTAGATCCAAATGTGTTTCCATAAAAAAATGATTGATCCACCATTTTTTTTTACTATGTGCTCTGAGGGTTTTCATTGATTTGACTTCTAAATATTTTATTTTGAATTATTTAGAGGGGAGGGTATAACAAAAACGTATAATGAAAACTGCTTTTGAAACGTGCTAAAATCTATTCTTGAAGCACGTTTTCTCTTCCCTGCTATGTTTTACTATTTAATTCCATTCATGATATTGATGTGAATGCCAAATTGAAAATGAATTTTCCAGGAATAATAGATACATTTAAAAAATCATTTTTTCTTAAAAACTTTTGTATGTGTTCTCACGTTTGTTAAACTAAAAGCTCATTTTCTCAAAATGCGCGCTCATATGACCTTAGCAGTTGCAAGCGCCGTAAAACCCTATACTACTACTACTACTACAACTTTCTAAAAATTATATTTTTATACTCTACCTCGCAAAACGTGCAATATCTCAAAAACTACTTGACATGTCAAAAAAATCCAAAGACTCCTGTGTTCAGCATTGAATTCTCTATAAGGTACAACTCCAACTAAAAATGGTCAAAATCCCACTTTTGGTACACACACAATTTAGGAGGCCGGCAGCTGTAAGCCTGGCTGTCGGGGTCAAGGTCAGTATATCACGGCAGAAAGATGGAGATATTCGATAAATATCCTCCACACATGCGAACTGATCTCCCATCTTCCTCGTGCAACAGCTAAGTGCCAAACAACTACACCATAGAACCAAGTTTTTAGGGAAGGAAACGAAAACTGTGTATTATCTTTCGCTTCAGAAACGACTTAGTTTAGTTTAAGTAGTAAGAGTTTCACAGCACTTGTAACACAAAAGGTCATACAAGTGCTGAAGGTTAAAATATGGTGTTACTGGAGAATAACATACATAGAAAAGAAGGAGGGGAGATAAGGAAGACGTTTGATGGGAAAGAGGGAACAAACCATATCAGAGCACCCGTCAACTAAACCCACAGAAACGACACCTACAACTTTTGCTTTCATATATTGGGGGGCAAAAAATGTTTAAGTTTGAAAGGGTAACAACGTGCTATATGACAAACACACCTTCAAAATCTGTGTGTTAAAAAAATGAAATGTACGGTTTTGATGCTGATTTCAAATACATGTAATCAAATTTGGAAGAAAATATAATATTGTATTGTTTTAACATTGTTTCGAAACAATCTGATTTTGAAAGAAATAAATTGTATATTTTTAATTACTGAAAAAAAAAAAGATTCTACCACTTTTGAACAATCTGATTAAAAAAAAAAAAATTTATGCTTTCCAACAATATGACTCTAGATCTATGTACTGTGCATCATAGCCCAACACCAACATATCGAGAAAAAAAAGATAACAAAAACTAAAACAACAAACATGCTTTAAATTCTTCATGCAGTCAAGACAGAAGACGTCTGGCCATTTTTTAAATGTGTAACTAGAACCAATCCAAAAAGACACATTTGTGAGACGTGCTGACAAAATAAGTTACTTCTCAGATTTTAGTCTTACGGAAATTGATACATCAACTTTTTAGGTGAAGTTTGTACAATTTGTAAGTGTAGTATGGAAGAATAAAAGACAAGGGTAGACAAGAACAAAATAGCATCAATAAAAAATCAATAAGTCAGACCCCAGTGTAGATTTTTGGCCAATATCTCCATTCTTGGATTGCGAAAACTAACTCATTTTGTCAGCACACCTCACATTTGTGTGAAACATTGGTGAAATCAGACACTCGTTTAATCAATGAAATCACAGAAACTGACATAACTCCGCCTGCTGGGGCAAATTTTATTGAATCTATTTTATTATTCTGTATATTTTTTTTTTAGCTCAACATTTTTAACGTCTATTTAAAAAGAAATTTGCGTGCGAGTTTAACTGAAATCCTAGAGTAAATGTACAAAAAAATAAATTTTCAGTTTCCAAGGAAACTCAAGTAATAGAAGTCATCAAACCTTGACGGCCATTTTCTCGACCTCGACCTTCTTCAAGGGCAGATATTTCAGCTTCTATTCAAGATAGATCGGGCTTTCTTTTCATCAGAAGTAAGACAAATAAACAAGCTTTAACAAGATACCAGTAACTATAAGCCTGTATATTCAGAAATTGACGAGCACCTGATTCCCCAGGGTCATGACACATTTATTTCTAAATATAGTTTGACAACATTAAACCCCCTCACCCAAAAAATCTATTTCTAAATATGGTTTGACAACATTAAACCCCCTCACCCAAAAAATCTATTTCTAAATATGGTTTGACAACATTAAACCCCCTCACCCAAAAAATCTATTTCTAAATATGATTTGACAGTTACAACAGAAACAACCACCCAGAAAGTCGTGAGATCACTCTAAGTGCTGAAATATCACTACCTCGTCGCCCCC